GTGACGTGTTCGCAGCATGACTGTACGCATAGCGCCTGACGTTAAGATAAGGAAGCCAGTGATGTCGCACTTGTTGAGAACGCCACATATGTATCTAATACGTATGCATTAATATATGAGTATAGACTGTATATAATGTATCTCAAGGGATGCTGCGAGTGGTCCATACCAATACAGAAAACAGTAGAAACAGCTATATGACTGTACAGATTCTGAGTCCATAGTAGGCTAAAGCACGTAAGTCTCCTTATATGTATTCTTGTTACGGCTATTCTTGTTGTTGTTGTTGGAGCTTCTACTTGCCGTTGTTTCTTTGCTGCTTATACAAAGCATAGGTGTTCGTTCCTCATTGGCTATGCCCGGCGCATCTCTTATCTGATATAAAGACGCCGCCTTGTGATCCCAGCATTATGGCCAAGCCTGTACCCAGTATTTATTTAGTGAAAAAGATGTTATATATATATATATATATAGTCGATTGTCGGTAAGAAAAAATTCCATGCTTGTGATCCCAGCATTATGGCCAAGCCTGTACCCAGTATTTATTTAGTGAAAAAGATGTTATATATATATATATATATAGTCGATTGTCGGTAAGAAAAAATTCCATGAATTCATCTTTTACCTATTTATACAATTTTTTAAAATCTTTTTACTAAGCTTTTGAGCTGTACCTCGCTTGTACTGCGAGTCCAGATTTGTTTATCACTGTTAATTTTTTTGTTTCATATAAATTTATCCCATCTTCAACAGTGATACTTTATAGGCTCTTACGAAAGGCTGAACTCGCTTCCGTCTCATCTCCGATTTCCAAGCGAGGCACGTTTAAATAATTTGATGCATCTGCTTGTTCGCGATGGGATTGCACGGGTCCAGGAACTGGGCAAGATCGAGGATCAGTTTTCTCGGTCGTGAGCCAGACATCAAGCGTGGTTCGTGGCGCTTCCTCTTGCTACTGATCTCTCACACGTTACATAAAAGAAAGGACGCGCCGAGTACGATAGATTCGCCATTTTTATTCTACGGCTGATATTAATATCGGTGTATATACGCGATAGCGTTCTAAGTCTGATTAGAAAATTTTATCTCAATCCACTGACTATCAATATGTATCAAGATACGTCTGGTTGTTATGTGTTATTGACATGCATTTCTAACCATGAAATTGGACGTTAACGACGCTCTCGTACTCGACGCCCAGCGCCGCTCTATAGACTGGCAAATCAGCGTATTTCCCTATCATTATCTAAATGCCACTCTTGATGCTGGCTCAAGGATCTAAGCACGCGCAGCATCCACGTAGAGGAGATCGTTCGGTATCTCATGGTAGTATCTAATTTTACTGTAGATTAGGTATTACTTGCACTTAGGTATATCTGATCGTATAACTATATCTATGGTTTTAGATATCATTAAAAATTGATACAGTAATACATATACTGTCATTGAATGGCGTGCGCAGATGTGAATAATTTTGAAAAAAAAAAAATGTTAAAATTTTAACACGGCGCACTTATGAGTAAATTTAATCAATGAAAATCTGACAAATTATACCTAGTTTACATTAACGCTTGCACGTGTACATGTCAAGAACGGAATCCGCAATTCTAATGTCGAGCGACTTCATTTTAAGATAGTATATAATGTTAGGGTGGATTCCTAATGCACCTCCGTCGGTAACAGTGATTAGTGGAAAGTGCAGATAAATCTAAAACGTGATGTGGTTTCAATACCGTAATTTTACAATTGGGTGTAAGATAAGTCGTCGACTAAAAGGTAAGATTTAGAAAAAAAGAAGCTAGTAATAAAAAGTTACAATCTACAAAACCTAAGGCAAACCCAAAGGATCAAGATAATCAGTGATTCCTCTCTCCTGCTCAAACAGTTATTCCTATCTTCGATTAGGCACGTTAACCCGTGTTACAATTAATTCGATTGCCATCAATACGCCTGAAGATCGAACAACGTATACATACATTAAACGTTCTGTGTTCATTCAAAACTTTTTTATCTACCCGCCAAACATTTTTTTCAATCATTTTTAAATACACATTTACCCTAGAGGAAACACTTGGCCGATGCCACAGTCAGAACCTCGAGCGTTTCTTACCTCCTTGATCTACATATCCTACCGTTCCACTCGTCAAAACAAAAGACCAACACACGTGCTACGCGTGTACAGCATACTTGTACGAGATCGCCATCTCGATGTACACGGAGTAAGGAACGCGAAAACATGGTTCAGAAGTGGCACGAGTCGGTAACGGAATGTCTAACATAAATGACCAAACGGCTCGGAGCACTTTTTCAAAGGTGAATATTCCTTTTCTTTTTCTTCTTATTCGCACGTTCCTCCTCTCTTCCATAGAAGACTCGTATATCAACGTTCTATCAGCATACAGGGTTCCGTGGTTCCATTTGACGTACAACGCATCCAGGATCTTCCGTCGTACCAGAGAAATTGGTACCGGATGATACCGTAGCGTCCACTGACAGTCTCCGGAGCGATTGTTTCTTGTTATTGTACGTAGATGAAACCCGCCCCAGGGTTAAACGGCGAGGGTGGGGTTCAACAATTAAATAATTGTCAATCGACCTAGATGCCATGTAAGAGTGTATCTCCCCCGATACACCTGTAACAATATAACCATACGTATAACACATATATACCGTACGCTCATTACTAAAACTGTATAGAGGACAATTCATTCTGTTCACTCTGTTCTGAAATAACGTCTGTGTCCTAGATCGAGTTCTCGAGTCCATCTAGGAATGCTGTGACGTGGACCGGATCTTTCTTCGATCTTATCGCCTTCTCTTCATCTCGTTCGACGTACAATGAGAATCCTTTCCTGAATTAGGAAAAGAAAAAGACATCTTTTTTAATTCGTCAAACTTTGGAAATACTCGTACCGCTTGGACCTCTCCTCGTGCCGTTAACATGGATGCGTATTATGTACGCGGTCGTTGTTGGCCTTTTATGGATAAAAATTCACGGTCGATCCAATCACGTCAATTAACATCCGCGGCCGATCCGACTAATCTGATTTGTCAGGTTCTCCAAGAAGTGAAAGTACTCGATGATGATTACTGAGGTCTCACCAGGTATATCATCCAATGACCCGCGGACGGGAGTGTCGGCGCATGCGGATGGGTGTAGAACACATCTCGCGTCTAATTACCAAGGAATGCTTTGTGCGCATAGGAAGCCGCGCATCGTTCGGACTTAACGAGTATAGGGGGTGGGAGGGGTGGGGCGGTATAAGGAAAGGGCCCGCACACTGGTAAGGCCCATATTAAAGATTTAGTTATGGAGACACGTTAAGTCCCAATTCTTTTATCACGTGCCATTATCCGGTATTACCAACGAGAACATGCGTAACGCATCGTGCGGCATGTATGCTTTGATAAATATCAAAATTTATGATTCGTGTTAGAAATTTTTTTAAAAAATTTTTTACCGAGTCAAAGTTCCAGAAAAAAATTTTTATTTTGGGACCGTGTAATATTTTCTTTCTTTCTCAACGTGCAGTCTTGATACACAGTTTGTCCTTTTCATTTCTCCTTATCCAATTTCAAGTCCGGTTTCACGTGATTGCCTATCCGACGAAATGGGCCTTAAAGATCAGATCTTCCTTTGGCTTGTCTGCGGACTTTCCAAAAAGGCACCGAAATCTGAAATAGCTTTGCTGCTCACATTTTTTCGGACGTACCCTGGAGTACGGAGATTCGTGCGAAGTAAGATTATGATGTATTTTTGTTTTATTTTTCATACCCAGCATCCGCTGCTCTTACGTCATCCGGTATGTGAGATTTTACGTGAGTGCACATGTGCATGTAGCTGCACGTGGCTCGTATGGGAGCATCGGCATCGCTACGTGATTACGTGATTAATTGATGCGAGATAACGAGGCGGGTAAATACATACTAGGGACCGACAGGGGCCCCTAAGAGTTAGTCGGCGTTACTGCAGAGACGAGAGAGTGCTCGTCACGTCGAGTTCAGGACTCAAGCCCTTTTTGAATGAAGCCGGTACCAGTTTATTTATTTCTTTTTTTCTTTCTTTTTTTTTCTCTCCCTCTTCATCTCAGCACTACTTTCAATAACGCGGCTGTGTTGAAAGAGCCACCTTTTATTTTTATACACGGCAACCCAAGGGGTAAGTGTCGTAATACTAATTAAAAGTAATTTTGAAAATAAAAAAAAAATCAAACCCTAGACCGTAACTTTTGGAATTTTATTACTAAATTGAGCTATTTTCATTATTTCTTGTAACACCGTATCGATGACTCTATGAGTTACAGGTAGTTCACCCTGGGCGAAGGTGCAGCAGCAGGTAACGATATCAAATTATTGATTGCTCGGGTCTATACATCGGACAGCAAGGCGAGCCCGCAAGAATACACAGTACGCGCCCCGCCATTATGGAAATTGCTCGATAATACATGGGTAATTGCAGGGCAGTCCTCGATTTCCATAAACCTAATATGGAAAATGCATCAGCATGTATTTGAACTACCTTGACGTGGTTGCATCTTGTAAAATTATTTAAAAAAAATAAATAAATAATAAAAAGCATCTATCAAAAGTTTCAAGTTCATGATACAACGTTAAAAACGTAATCTGGTTCTACGACCTTAAACCATTATATCCTCAAGGTGGCGTTGCAACGAGCGATTTCGAAAAGTGAAAGCAGATAAGTTTGCAATGATCGATCATCATTGTACTTTTGTTCCTGATACGTAAGTACTGGCTCGATACTGTTCCTTGATAAGAGATTATTTTTTCCTTCTTCGTTATCTTAAACCGAGTATCCATCATGGCGGCTACTGTATCTAACCCATGAATTAGAGTTGGTTGATATGAATATGACAACAACTAGAAGACCTTGAAAGTCCAGTAACGATTTAATATCCAAGTCCAAGGACATAACCTGAACCCATCGGTCCGAGTGAAATATTAAAGCCTCGTTCACAGGTATCGAGATAATTATCACTTACCTCGTGCGCCTGATCCTCGATGCTTCTCAGGACGCTCAGATTTCTCAGGGTCGAGCGACGTGATTCAAATGATGATTCTAACCTTTTAGCAGCGTTGCCAACCTCTTCGATCAATCTTCTCGCGCGATCCAGGGATAACCTAAAATCGATATCGATCGGTAAGTGAACAGGAAGAACTAATTAAATAATTTGGTATGGATACCGAAAATCTTGTAAAATTTAATTACCTCACGTGCTCAACGTGCGAAAAGGGCCCAGCTCTTTCCTCCAGACTCGCAATGGCGTCCTCGGCGTCTCTCGACGTGCGTCTCAGCGTCGGATCCGCCAAGAGTCGGCTGAGCGGCGTCAAAGTCCTTGAGATACTAGAGGAGTCCTTAAGCTCGGACATTTCCAGGAGTAGGCGACGTCCGGTGGTCTGCCATTCAGTCATGAGGTTGTCGTACTCCTAAAAAAGAGTAAATGAAAAATAAATTCGAGGAACAATAATTTTTAAACTACACTGAATCGATACGGTGTATATATTTTTATTAGTAAATCGCTATGGTCATCGTACATAAAAACACACGAGAGCAGCCAATTGGCCTATAGTGATTCTACGGTATTTTCATCGCTCTACAAATAAGGCCCGATTGTCAATGAGTTCCTTTCGGAATGCCGATCGGCGATCGATAACTCCATAGTAACAGATCGATTTCTATAGCGAGATAGGATAACGATGAGAATTCGACTGTCGACGGTACAGCTTCCGGAATTGCAAGCGTCTCAATTAAGTAAAATAACCGATATAAAGAGCCATCCGAAAGTGATCGGTACGAGAAATCGAATGACGAATAAAAATAAGCTGTGTGAAATTAGCCGAGGTCAACGTATCCGACAGTCGTAACCACGATCGATAAAAGATCAATTGATCGATACGACAATGCCTTTTCGTGTGGTCGAACCCATTATCGGTACAAATGCCACTACGATCGGTACCTGCCAAAACTGTCACATCGTTCGTTGAAACGCCACTCACTGTCTTCCAAAGCTGTCAGGTCACTGCCGATTCCTACTGTTTTTCTGACCACCCGCTAGAGCGTCGGATTACGTGTACCGACGTACAGTGCTTTTCACTTTAAACCATACCGATCATATTTTCACTAAGTAAATAAAATTTTACCACGTGAAGGTTCCACTTAAACATACCTCTTATGTACACCCATATACTGCATACCTGTGCTATAGTCGGGGTCTTTAACTCCTACGTAACATATGTCATATATATTATCGAGAGGAGACATTTACCTTATAAAAGGCAATCCAGTGCGTCTGACTGTGGACCCCGTCTCGCCTAGAGATGTATTTGCAGATTGTCGAGCCGTCGACGACAACGACGTCCTAAAAAAAAAGAAAAAGCGACTTTACATTCAAGATCAGCCAGACGGAACGGCTGCGAGAAGTCGCGACGTTAAAGAATGGACGAAAGGTGTGCATGGGAATGAAAGGTGGACGTGAAGATAAAATTCGCAAAAAAAAAGGTGATCAACAACAGCATCAGTACCATGAAACGAAAACGACCCGAGTAGATGAGAATATAAAAATAAATAGTCCAATCGTTGCTTTGATCTCATTGCCAATAAAACCGACCATTACGCTGCATCGAAATACACGCGCAACAATAATTATCCCATGGCCATAAGGATTACATGCATTAATTATACTCAATGATTCTTTTTATTTTTTATTTTCAATCCAATCATTCAATCTGCCCAATGCTAAAGTAGAGACTTGTCAAATGCATTGTATACGGTGAAAGCATTCGATTAAATGGTACTGGCATTGTTTTTTTCAACAACTTTTTTTTATTTAGCCAACCCTCCTACCCCGACGCGTACCTTTATTTGACTGCGTGGAAATACAGCACTGCCAGAAATATCCGTAGGACCATTACGTAAGAGCAGGGCCTGCTGCACTCGTATTCGTTCCTGAAATTAAAGCATTGTTAAAACGCACGTGCGTCGAGTATCAATAGGGTTCATTAGGGAGGGTTATTAATTGTAAGTGTACGCCATAAATGAGTATCGCTCTGTGATTTTTCATATAGATACCTGCACGAGAAGAAGGGCCTTGTCCAACAGTTCAAGATCGTCTTGCGGATCCCCGTTGATCAGTAGAGTGAACTCGTCCTTGGGTTCGAAGCTGAGGATCAGAAAAAAAAAATGCATATGAGATAATGCAACTGCATAATCCTTTAATCGTCTGTGCTGACGTACGGTATACGGAGTACCCGCGTGACGTCACGAACCGTGGAATCTTAACTGTCGACTATGAAATTCTAAGAATAGTCGGAACTCTGCACTGCAGCAAAAACTGCATATATGCATAATAAGATGCATCTCCGAGATGCAGCTGGCATTAAGTCATGACACGTGGGTGGCTCGTGTGTAACTATATGGCGTTTCTCACGCGGCTCCTGTGGCGCCCTCGTCTTGTTATTATATTTACGTTCATATTGTTATTATATTTACTATACGTGCCAACCAGCACTATCGTATAAGTGCATATATGCACCGGGGGACAAGATCATACAAATATTATATCTATACATTTCATCACACAGTCCCTGACATTCAGTGACGTAGTGAACTCCTGGTACCTTGTTGTTTCCTACCTTCTGTGAGGTATCTAACCATACCTGGATATGTGGACATACATAACCTATAAATATGTATATATGTACACATAAGTTCCCGTATGGTTATTTACGACAGCGCGCTGTTCGAAAGGGAACTTGAGCAAGATTTCTACTTTGACTTATTATACTGGCTCTACGCCTACGCGTCGATCATTGTAGCTGTCAAAATTTGACAGCTCGCGCGTTTTTTGTTTACATCGTTTGACAGGAGTCGCAAGACACGTGGGACCGATTCGATTGGGAATATTTTAAAAGGGAAAAATTTTTTTTCATATCTAATGACACATTTTTTGGATTAACAAATATTGAGTGATAAAATTTTTTTTTTAATTCGTCGTTTTATACCTGACGTCACTACATTATTTTGTAAAAGATCTCGTGCATCAACACCATTGTAAAACAAGACTCTGTTAATGTCATCGTACCGTGACATCGTCTCCAATGCACTTTGCTGCATCGTGGGCAGATACTCGAGCATCTTCTACCTTCTGGGTGGGCACTTATGCACTTAGGTTAGGTTTGCTAGGTACGGGTATGATTAAGTTCGACCAAACCCTGAACAAAGAATGTCATAACCCTTTCCCCAGTATAGAATAGGGATGTGATACCAAGAAGTGCATAAGAGCTGAAATGAAGATCGGTGCATTCTGTATGCAACCATGTAATGCAACGTGTATGCAGATATATGATCTAATTCTACATATTTTTTTTTTATTCAAAAATTTTGAAAATCCAATCTACACCTTACTCGTGTAATTCACCTATACCCTGTATCTACTAACTCAATTTACCCAGGCGTATTGCGGTAGCCAATTCAGCTGTATCTCTTCAGACCGATCCACCTCGTCTCGGTGGTTCAGATTATTATTGGCAACCCTGTAATTTATCTCTCTGTACGCCTATCGGTATTACCGACCTGCGAGCTCCTTTTGTTTTACCAGCAAAGTGGCTGTCGAACATTGATTTTCAGATGCATCCAATATTTTCATACAATGCATATGCACCTACAATTTTATTCTGACAGGTTATATGGGAATTTTGAAAATTTTACCAAGTATCCCAACTTCTTCGTGCACTAGGAATTCCCATGTAAAAAGGATTGATGTCTTCCGTAACTCATGCAGAAATGCGGTCAGGTGCGCAACTAGATCAGTGAGATCCTTAGCGATCCTATCGTCTCGATCTTCGTCATGACTACCATCCTTAAAGTCATGATATACGATACATGATGAGGTGCCTGGTACATCCGCAAGATACGAAGTTTCCCATCATTGCCCATTGTCCGACATTAATTATGACAAAAATCCTAACCGACCTATATATATATATATATAACACTGTCAAGAAGAATGCATAAATACAGCTATAAACAAACTCAGTAAATTTTCACTGGTAATTACATACTTTGGTGAAAAGTGCATACGAGTGACGTCACTGGTACCAAATCCGGAATAATTTTCCCCCTGCGTAATCAAAGCCAGGCGTAACGAGCGCACGTAACGCTCGATTGATAACACGTTATCAATTAAGGTATACGGATGCGGCAGTCGTACGTCTGCGAAAATTATTATTATTATACCAGATCGAGGAGATAAGATTATTAAAGCCACGTGAAAGCCACGATAAATACTGATGTAACGGTGATATTACGCTTTTTCGTTTTCTTTTTTGCATTCGCTTATTTCACGAGAATTAATAAATTGCCAATTTGGCCACGTGCTAATACCTGCAATCAGAAGTCAGTCGCTAATTGAATATCGAACCCGAAGGAATGCGCTTTCCCCGGTGAAATTGTCGTAATTTCCGTGAAATAATAATAACAATAATAAATAACACAAGACTGGCCTCGTCGTTTGACAAGGTAAATGCGAAAAGACGCGTTAAAAAAAAAAGCGATTAAAATATTTTCAAAATAATCCAACCGAGACCCGATCGTACAGCAACAAGTGCGAACGGTGCAAAAATAGGCCGTGGGCTAATATAAGGAAAAAAAAATTAATTTTGATAAAAATTCGCAACTCGAGCCTAACGATAACAAATGCACCGTTAGAAGTTCATTAGCCGAGTAATAAAATTGACAAATTTTAATGGACCGAAATTAATCCTTTTTATTACGTCCATAAGTTTCTGTTCTCCGGTCTCCCAGGAATCAAAGCACGCTTAAGTGTCCCGTAATCGATGGATCCAATGGATCAATAATCTATTGCTAATTTCAAGGGAGCCAAATATTCATATCCGTGCTAGTCGATTTATCTTTAGACTGTACAGTCATGCGCAAGAAGACGTAATAACAAAGACAACTCCATAAGATAATATTATATGTACAGTCTCAATAAACATTAAAGCCAATATTCATAGTCCCCATGAGGCGATCGTATAAACAAAATTTGTTATGATCCAGTGTCGCGCGGTTAGTCGTTTAAAATACGTCAATAGGATCCCCGTCCATATACTGAGCGAGTTCCTTCTTTACGGATATGTCGGACTTTAGAGAGCGCGGGGTCAAGACGGGTTGGCATTGTTCGCTTAATTAGGTCGTGGCAAGGCCACGCGAACTCTCGCGGTAAGATTGGCGATATGCAGACGGTGCATATGGATATATGCACTAGGTGCAAAATATTTAAAAAAAAATAAATAAATAAAAAATCATTAAACAATAGAAAGAGGTCACTCACCTGGGCAATCGCGAGAGGTAGAGAATAAAGGTCGCCATGTCGCGGGCATTGAGTGTCTCCCTGATTCTGGAATCGTATTCGATTACGAGTCTTCCGGCAGAGTCTCTGTATCCTGAAACAATGAGGGGAGATGTGAAATAAAAAATATATATAGTTAGACAACTTTACGGTGTACTTTTTTTCATCTAAGATCTACGATCGCAAATAAGTTTAATTGGCATGTATAGATATATACGATAAATATAGTAACCGTGATATCAGGCGTGATGATAATTCATACGCGCAACAGATTAGACGCGCAATTACCTCGTAAAGCGATAATACGACTCGTGAAGTCCGATCACCTCGGTTAAGTTCGTCATTGGCCGCGAGAGAAAGATTGAACGTGACAATTGACGGAATTGAGATAAATTAAGATTGATCGAGTGCGACGGGATAAAAGTTAATAGAAACAAATAATAACAGCACGATATATAATGCACGATGATACTTTTCACCAGGACAAATTAATCTAGTAACTTTCTAGAAAGATCGCGCCTGACGCCTTGACTTTTTCACTAGACGCCCCGCTCGGCCGGCCCGAGACTCCGCTACCCAGAATGCCTCAGCTGCGCGAACGTAGCTGCGTGCGATTCTCGACCGTCAGCGCCATTCAGCCCGAACTAATCACTCGCTGACAATGACAGTCAGCCAGTGACTAAATCGTCATTGCGCGATTACAAAAAGTCAAAACTACGTGTAATCGTTTTATCAAAAGCAGGTAAGTCGTCTCGAAAAATTAATTCCGTTCAAGTAATTCGCATCTAAGAAAAATAATATACGTTAACCGCAGTCTCCCAATGCTTAATCATTAAAATCAAGTGGTGGATCAAGTCTCTAACAAGAATTCGATTAAATGGCATTGGTGGATGATAAAGTAAATTCAACTAACTGCACGGGTTAGTTCGTATCGATTGGTCGATAATATCGATAATCGAAGAGCGTATCGAAATGCATATTGCACCAGGCAGCCGTGAGAAAGATGAAGGGTAGGTACGTACACGGATGGAAGGATAGATACGTCAAATGCATACCATTAGCCATCCCCGTGGGATTTATTGATCGCGATCGTGTCGTAAATCCATGATTTCTAATTACACGGCTCAGGGGCATCGTCTTCTGGCAAAAAAGGATCATTTATGGTTATGCATATAGTTATAGATATCTCTCGGCCTATAATATAGATATACAGATAACGTAGTCCTTGTATGCCCGTTTAACCATCAACCTGAACATTGCTTGGCTCGGAGGCTTGGGTTTCTATTAAAATGAAAATCCCGATAACGAGGTGGAAAACGTCTCGTAACGTATAATCCTACGGGCAGTGAATCATTGAGCGAACGAGCTAAGGTAAATACATCGACGAAACGACGTCATCTTCGGCGTGCACTTAGAATATCGTAAAATCATCAGCAACCGGGTGAATCGATACATCGTGAGAGTCTGAAACGAGAAAGGAGAGCTGGGAAAAAAAAATTTTTTTTTCCCTCGTACAATCTCGATATAACGGAAATTCCGTAAAAATATAAATATTACAGGGATATAAAAAAAAAATTTTAAATCAAAATTCATCCATAAATGATCTAAGGTTCAGGAACAGCAATAGGGATGTTGTCTAAAGACATATGGTTTCACTCATTCATCCCGATATAATCGCGGGCTGCATTTCTCTTGGGAAATGTCTTTGCTGGTCAAAAAGTAAATTAAAAAAAAAAAAAATATTCCGAACGAATGGCATACATCCAGTTCGTGCGTGGCTAATGTATTTCATCCAATTGCAGCGTGATAACCATAATCACGTTGCAGGTACCGTACGTGAGCGCGTATGATTACGTTGCTACAGGATAAAATACATGGGGTGTATATATATATATTGTATGTGATACGCAGGCGCCCGCGCGCGAGAGAGAGAAAATGATATGATGATGTGTCGATATAAGCTGCCTCACATATTCACATTCTTCAAGACGAAGGTACATCGAGGAATGGGAGTCCCCGTGGTGAATCTCACGCCCCCACGTTCTTAACAGATACCCCATTACTATTTATGAGTAGAAACATACCATTTGACCATTCACCAACGTCTACCAATATATATGTGTATATATGCCAGTATTAATCGTTTCATCGAAAGATCATTCTGCTATAGTAATATGCAGGCGACATATACCTATATATGCTTTCGTTTCACTCATCAGCCCTTAAATAAAAGGAGGTACCCCGGAATAAGATCGTGTATATATATATATATATTGACCACCGCTTACCTTTATATCGAAGGAACAGTCCGTCCTTGATAGTGTACGGACTGAAGGTTAATTTTCAAAGTTTCCCACGGGAAATTCGAATAAGCCGATAAGTGGAAGATTGATCCGAGGAAAAGCGAAGTCAGACGAGGAACGTAACTACGTGTCCTGGGATCTAGGCCGTACCCTGAATTCTGCCGCATCGTGTGGCAGAATTACATATATACATATACATATGCGCGAGATATATGAGAGCAGAAGTAGAAGCAAGATCAGCGGCAAGATCGGCGGCAGCAGCCCGACATAGAGATGCCAGGATATTAAACGCACTCGCCGAATTACAGTGTTGCGATACGAGGAAACGAGGATGCACGCGAGCATAATAAATCGTCTTGGTTTATATTATAGAAGCGAGCCGAACCGCAGCCAGAGTAACAGATACAGGACGAAGAGAAGAAAGATGAAGTTATGCTTATCGCGTGCTGTCCGTCCTTCTCATACCGTATACGCGATCCCTTTACGTTATGCAGTTTGAACGTAAGAGGACGTTACGCGTAGGAGAGGTCTGCGCATGCGCGAGCCACCGTTGACAAAGATGGCGGCCCGGCATACGCGCGACAGTCGGTTATTTGACAGATTAACCCGTGCGACAGTTTCGACGAGTTTTACGGCGTGAATTCGGTGTGCATATTAATATACATGGATAAGACAGATATACCAGAAGCACTAGAGAATTTCCTGCAATGGTATAACCTTGGCAGTAATCTCAGTGAGAACAAGATTCCGAGGAATCCTCGACAGTACAACTCAATCCCTCGTATTAACCTAATCGAGCCAGTACCGTTGGCGCATAAATCACTCAACATCTGATGCAACTAAGGTATGTCATGGCCATTGCTAGGCGATCAGCTGGAGCCATTCAAAATATATGCACATGTTATATCCCTCTGCATAGAATATCCTTTCAGGAATTGATTCCTCGAGGCGGGCTTTTAAAATCCTTTCGCGACTACCTTTAACGACTAACCACTATTCCGGTTAACTAATCAACGACAAAACATAACCCCAGCCAACTAAGGGAATACAGTTATGGACACGCGCGGAGTTTCCAGCAGCGAGAAAGCACCGGGATAGAATGATAGCGTCGTATAATGAAGAAAGGAAGTATAGCGTACAATAAAGGCGTAGAGCTGGAAACAGTGTAAGCTTTTAAAGAAGGCAGGAGGAGGCACGACAAGAGAGAACTAGTCTACACGGTATGTAACATAAGTAAGAGAAGAGAGGAGAGCACAGTTGTGTACTTAGTACGTAAATAGATAGAGGCAGAAGGATGCGAGGGCGTGTGAACCTTGTAGGATCCCCACGTGGGTGTGTCCTGGCTTCCGCATACTCCTCGGCGGTCACCACATTATCTATTTGCGACTGCCGCTAACCTAACCTCACATCACCATCCCTCTGACCCCCCCTATCTAACAAACAGCCGTACTCGTTACGTTCATACGTTTCCACCTTTTGGTCTTAGGCATCTACATACGCGGCTGGCTTTAGTCCCGTGTTATGCTTTGCCTTGTAACAGTACGTTACTTCGTATTACGGGCAGACAGTGGCTTCGCCGCCATTATTGCTACTCGACCATGCGAAACCATTTGGAATCTTGTCTTTACTTAGGTTTCTACCATAAATGCCTATTTAGCCGATGCTATTTCACGCTTCCTAACACACTGCCTTCCACGAGGTTAACTCAGATACCATTGCTGTACGTATATAAGATCCTAACTAACGTATGTTGCTTGGAATATGAGTATGGACGGGTCCGTGTTTACGGTTCGGAGGAAGATACGAGTTTATTAGCTGAAATATATGGGCTGAACTTATAAGGACTATAAACTTACCAGGGAGTGTCAGACCGCAGTTTAGGACGTGATCGGGTAGCTCGTCGATGGTTCTTGGTGCTGTGATTTCGTCCAGTCTTTTCTTCGTGCCTGAAAGTTAAATATTAGCTACTGTCAGTTGTGCCGCTTTGAAACTTATGTTTCAGATAAGATTTGCCATCGGTACCAATGCGATAGGAAATATCAGGGTAACTTTATACGTTTGTCGAAGATCCTGTTACTGGCCATTGTTACCAGCAGCTGGGTACATCTGGACCATATCTAATATTTGTATAAAAATTCTACCCTTGTATTGTACTAATTATTTTATCGTGTTACAAAAAATAGTTTTTTAATAATCATACTTCAAAATGCATTTAGATGCATCAGGACGTACGTGCAGGAGGGATTCTAATGGCTACCTACACCGTTTAAACTCTATGACCTTGGCTGACCGTTGCATCAAGAAGGTCAACAAATCTCAACAACCATCAAATTTGCATACAGCAAACTCGCAAACACAATGCACTTTCTACGCAATCGGCGCGCATCGATGCACTAAGCCACGGCGGAGGCCGGCGTTGCATGCAGCGGCGGTATCCTATACATTAGACAGAGCTACTCAATCGAATCGTACAATTTGTATATGGAATCATACCAAAGCCATGTATGTATAAAGCGTGTAAAAAGAGAATTGCATTGAAACAAATTCATAAGTAATGATATAACAAGTAAAAAGGCTTATTGTATCTCTCTTTTAGTAATGCGTATATCGGGGGGTCAGGGTGGGTCGGCGCACTTTGTGCTTTAACTTCGTACATGACGACGCAGAATAATGCACTCATTAAGATGCGTTATTTATGCAACGATATTGCGTCACTAATTGACACGTTCCGCGACGGCACTTAGTGCACTGTCTGCACTGCTATGCATGTATAGAAATACCAGGTAGGGCGTCTAGATACTTGCAAGATACCGCCATTTTACGGCTGGACGTTTATAAAGAGATCGGACCATGCTGGCAAAGTGGTGCCGTTAATTACCGAGGCTTGCGGAGGAGTCGCCATTATTAACGTCAATTAAGTAAACTGTTAACTTAAAGCTGGAATGCATTAAAATTGCTATAGCGGCAAGGCAACACGCTACTGGCAATAAGTAAAATGTATTTATATAGCGGGAGGTATATCGTGAGGCGCGTAGAAAGAAATTTATAGAAAACAAAAAACTTTCATAGAGGGGGGAATTGCCGCTTGATTATTTTCTATCTACGCTTTCGAAATTTTCCTAGGAATCAGATGGGGATTTATGAGATCGTCATGGCGTTCAGAGTTTACCGGTTAATTGCACGACGATATCCAACTTCCACTAAGGTACTCATTAGACGAGCTATTAATGGCTATTGCGAATTATTGGTCGTTCCTATCGGCTAGCTTACCAACGCTGGTTACTATTATAGTGAATTTCTTATGCTGTACCAGTTCGTACTGTACATCCGATAGGGAGTGTAGTTCAACAGTGCACGAACCGACTGCACTATCTTTACGACTGTCAATAGTTGCACAACGGTGCATACGAATGCATTATAGTAGCAGCTAGGTTAGGTGAGGTTTGCGTCGTGCAAACTGGTAAGAGAAATAGAGAGGGGGGATGCGAATAGTAAGAAAGAGGCAACAAAAAATTCGAAAAAAAAAAGTTCAAAATTTAGACATTTTTTTTTTTTTCTTTCATATTCATCCTGCATTCACGCACGCGCGGCCAATGCGGGTTTCCGGCAAAGCCGTCCGCGAGTCGTATGCAGATTTCAACACTCAGATTCATTACGGGACGTTAATTATAAGTTAATGACGCGACTGCCGTGTGGCTTTCTGCTGCAAGCTCTTACGTAAGACAATGTGCAAATGCATAGCAGTTCCAGTGGGAACTGCAACGATAGTCTTATGCGCCGTTATAGATGTAACGTGTGTACGTATGATATAAATATATTGTAACGTAATTCTTTTAACTTATGACCCGACACCGATAGCAAAACATACGAGAACGAACTATCTTCGAGAACCAACCTACGTTACCTTCGGCCGTCCACCCGTCGTTCGTGCATCCGCAAGCCAGGCGGCCGCCAGCCAAGCGGGCGCCAGTCAATTCTTTTTTCACCGGGAACTGACGAGCCGGTATAAACTGGGAGTTGGGATGGAACAGGCCCAACTCCACCAAGAACGAGAGCTCTGACGGAACCTATCAGAAGAGGCGATAGCTTAACGGATCCTGTCGATTTTTGGGGACGCGTAAAATCGAGAAACGCAACCGTAGGTGCTGATCTTTGGGGTCGCGTAAAATCAGCAAACGCAACTGGATACACAAACGGGAGCGGTCGGTTCGCTCAGGCTGCTAGGTTTGAGGTAGAGAGGGTCGGAGTAAGAGTCCGGCAAATAGTGCGAGAGACAGAGAGCGACGAACCGAGAACGTATCAGAACGAATCTTAATTGCCTATCGATATCCCTTCACCAATTAATAAATTGGGAATCCTCACCGGAGCTGGTGCAGCTAATCCGTGGAGGCCGAGAACTGTATCCAAAGGACACTGGTGGGCACTGCACTAAGGCACAGCACTACACCATCGTGACACTCACAGGAATTCAGAGAATTCCTGGATATCGCGAGAACAACGCGAGAACTGTACTAAGCGAGAACTTGCTATACCGTAGCGAAACACGGCAAGAAAAACTATCAACAGATAGCACGGGAGCACGAGCCAGCCCGTGACACCTCGGTCGGTGCCCCGAGACAGACTGCTTTGACAATAGCCAAATCCGAGAACTAATCATTCTGATTGGTCGAGAGCCTTATACCCGATAACTCTTCTATCTCCTTCGAGTCGTCCCTTTAAACCAAGTCGAGAGCGTTCTTTAGCGAATCGGTACGTAATCTGTGGAGATCCTCCACGGCCGCTTCCCCAGGGCATCGGGCGACAGCTGGGCACCACATCCTTAACTCGGGCAGGAGGTTCCTCTCCTGCCCTTAACCGTATCAAAACTCCCTCCGCCCGCTCTACAGCCCTTTGCCCATCTCCAGCGGGGTGCCGGTATCTCACCCGGGCTCCTGTCGGTCCGTGGAGACGTCTCCGTCGGGTACTCTCCTCTGCCGGGCAACTCGGTACGTCGAGACTATCTCCCCACGGCAGATTCGAGCACCTCGACCTCAACTAAACAATAACGAAATCTTACGAGAGCCTTGACATAACTGTACGAATCAACCCGAGAGCGTAGCTTCTGAGCAGGGTGGCGACCCGAAGGGAACCAGAAATCGAGAACGTTATCTGTATCGGTAACCGGAACTGCCTTGGGACTGTGATTCGAAAAATCACGTCACAATATATATGAAAAAAAAATTAAAGGCCATTTTGTCCTTAGACGTATTGTGACCTTTCGCGAAAATCAATTTCACGTGGGACGAGATAAACTCGTGACAAAAATAAGACGTCAGCTATGATCGACTTATGGAGTATACATTCTTTTTTATTGTTTATTTAGGCATCTTTTCGTCGAAAGAAAATCTTTCAATGATCCCTCCACGCGTAACGACTATATAGCCTATCATCCCGGGGCTGCTGAACGAATCCGTCAATTATGAACTCGCCTTAATGCGCTATTTATACCAGCGGATTCTTTACGTTCGTAAAAGGTAATGATTGCCGAACACGCGACTCCGTCAGCTGACGCAGTTTTCGTGAGGAACTGAACTTTTCCGAAATTCTCGAACACAATGGGGATGGTAGCACGCAACAGACTATGTACGTGCGGGTAACTTACGAATAAAAGTGGATTTAGGAATGAATGGACAAGGGAGGAAAAATAGCAGCATTTACTATCCTTCCCGTCCAATGATTTCTAAACGCAGCTTCGTTACAGGTCATTTGCAGATGCGATACGCAGTCCTCGAGGTTCTTTGTGTAAGGCGACCCAAGGTATATATATATATAAACATATACTCTGTTCGTGGAAACTATGCACAGTACGTGTAATGGTTGATGCTTCTGCCGTGACGCGAGTCCTCGCAATGACTTCTGGGTGGTCGTCGGACGTCGTCAGTCTGTCAGCGCACCTGAGGATATAGCTGATACAGTATATTCACGTGCGCATGCGCGCGGCAGTACGACGCAGTAGCTTCCGGGAACTTGTGAGAACAGAAGAGCGGAAATGGCGCGGTAGTTGTTACAACGAAAAAAAAAAAAAGTAGGGTTAAGTTACAGTAGGTATTGACATGTAAATATATCCCCAGTATTATTTTTAAGTACCTCAATTTCCTCTGTCTTAATAAAGAAATCAACGTGAACTCCTGCCGTATGCAATTGCAAACATGGCGGGCGGCGTTTCTACGAAACGGAAAAGCGTCGCGCGACGTAGCTTTTACGCCGGAAGCGATTAAAACGCGTTAATGGAAACTGGAAACGATTTTCGGCTTCGGTTCGAACTTTGGTCAGACCTGTGGGGTCTTTTGGTTAAACGGCTTGGACTGTCTCCATTGCGGTGTCACGAATCTACGCAGAGAGTCGACTTACAGCTGTCAAAGAATCCGACCGATCGTCGCGCCATCTCCAATCGGAGAAACGAACTTCGTTACGGTGCACAACAGAAGCTTCTAGAATTCTGTCTAGACAGTTGCCAAATCACTTCTGCCTGGAATTTCAATTAGCTACTGCACAGGATTTACGTAGACAGTGTAATTACCGAAAGATTAATATTTAATTAATTAAACAACCGGAAATGGAGTCGCATGAAATGCATATCGAAAAATCGACAAAAATTACAATTTTATCAATCTACTCAAAAGACCATTATCGAATTCCAGGTAAATGTCACTGTCGGTAAAAATCCTACGCGTAAACCATTTACCGGAAATGTCTGGTATACCCGTACCGACCGGAAGTACTAATGTCCCAGATCGAAGCGTTTAAACGAAGTCGACACGGTACGATTGATACTAGATAAAATGTCGGTTAACGAGCCGTGTAATTTTCGGGAGCAACTCTCACTCGATTGCCTGACAAATGATTCCGATCGTTAATTCAAACTCCAGCATGAACAGAGGTCATGGGTCACAGCTAACAAATATACTAATTCACTAGTTTCTACATATACGCATGCCCATAGGTACCTGATGCAAATATATAAAATATATATAGTCCATACAAAAATGTGGACGGTCCCTTTTTGTTACGCAATCTCTATGACGTCAGAGAAACAGAGAGAAAAAAACGGAGTGTTGACCCCTGACGATATCAAGATACCGACACACAGCTAGAACCAAAAGAGAAAAGGGAAGGTGGTCTCAATGGCGCCTGCGAGCAAGATCAGCAGTAGCAACGAATCCCAAAGGGTGTGGCTTTGGTACACACGAAGCCAAGGGCGTGGGCATTCGGGTATGTCCGATTGCTCTCGACTCCCGTCTACGTACTGGTACAGTCTAAGACTCAAACCATCTACTGGTTATTCATTGACCTGCACCCCCCGACTCCCCGCCAAGTAAAGGGGTACCCAGCGATACTGGATCCTGAAGATATTATTTATTTGGCGGAACCGCTTTATTGCGTTTCACGTGGGTAGCTTTATGTTTGCCTTCACGTACCGCCAGTGCAGAAGAGTGCATTGGAATAAACGTGCAAGAGCGAGGAGAAAGTATAGAGAAGAGAAAGAGAGAGAGAAAAAAATGGAAAATAATATACTTCAATCTCAACTTCATTCTGACTACGCGTGTGTACAATGCAATCAGCTGCTAACTGGACACATGTGAATGAATTCTGTATGGAGTGAGTAGGTACCTGAGTGGCAGAGTACCTACCAAGAGGAAGGTACCCGTCAATGAAGTACACAAGAGAGCCACGTGCTAATGAAACTCGACAACCCGTGTAAAGTCGCGGTCAATTGCCAGTACCAGTTAGTTATGTTAATACAGGTTGACCGTGCTCAATATATATATATATATATATATATATATATATGCAGGTAATTGCATACGTTCCTTGACTTTGACCGTCCGAGCCATTCGCGGAGTTATGGCAAATAGAGTGTAGGAGGACGTCACTTACGAGATGCGTATATGCATAGGTGCGATGTATGGTCACGTAGAATTTTTATTTTTTATTCTCCCTTTTGTCTCTCTCGAGTCCTTTCTCTCTCTCTTTTTTGTGTACCGTGCCCGAGGATAAAAGAGAGGCCACTGGCAACGCGCTCAAGGCGAGTATTCATCTGAATGACGGGCGAAGCACCGGCCGCGCCGTGCGATCGAGTGACATGCAAATATCCACGCGATTTGCATACCCGTTTATTACAATTACGCCTCCGCCTGAGAAAGTTATTGCGTAATGATACGCTGCGGTAATTTACGATTAATAACTGCGACGCGTGCCACGTCCAATCGGATATCGATATCGAAGTCTACGCGTACCTACGCCATCCGCTGTAGTCTTACCGTTAACGGCTGTTATTTGTATTGACTCGGCTACGGCGCGAATGATAACGATGCCGCTCATTGATTTGAACCGTTATCGTGTTTGCTTATACTATACCGAGAGAGGCGGCTATTAGAATCCTCTGTTACATTAATCCAGATTGCATCTATGGCGGTAAATGTCAGGAGACCATCCCACTTGGTAAATTGCAACAGAGTGCATCGGCTGAAAAATTGTATTCATCTACGAAGAGTTCCACGGGTAGGATGCAGTGTGTCGTGTAATCCTGGGCCGAAGGTTTCAACGAACTCACCAAAACCCATCCTGACCTCCTCTTCGTCGTCGCTGTCGATGTGCTTGATCCCGGCGACCTCGAAGCTCCGACCTCCTGGCTCCTTTCTCCTGGACTCGCACTGGCAGCTGCTCTCCGTGCAGTCACAGGAATCGCTGCAGCTGCATCCCAGAAGAGGATCATCCGTGTCCATGTTTCTGCAGGCTGGACAGGGGAAGGCGATGTCGTCGATCGATACGCGCTCGATCATCCTCTCGATGCTGACCAACAGGGTCTCTATGAGAGCCGGTAAGTCGTCGTCGGTGACCTGGTCAGGGTGCAGACGTTCGCCAAGGTGATGGTTAATGTCCGAGGACTGGGGCACGTCCGACGTGGCTGCCTTCTCCAGGTCGAACGGGGTCTTGAGGTCGGTCAGGTTCAAGGCGCGACTCTTCAGGTCGCACCTCGTCGTCTCCTTCCACTTTTCCATCGTCATCGAGGACACGTTTCCGGTCCTCTTGATCTTCCTGCCGCTATCCCAGTCGCCCGCAGCCTCCCGCGAAAGACTAGAATTCTTCGGGCGACGTCTCCACTCCGTCGGCTCCTCCTTCCAGGAGTCGACGCTCGAGCTCGACTTCGACTTGGCGACCGGTACGCCAAAGCCGAGGTCTTCCCGATCCTCGCCGGAACATTCGATCCTCTCGGCTGCCTCGAATCTTTCGGCAGATCGGCTGTCGGTGTCGCTGCTGCTTCCACGCGGTCTGGCCTGTAGCTCCTCTCGGGATCTTCGTCGAGGTCGGGACTTCGCTGACGAGGATGAGGACGGGGCTGGCGGGGCCTTTTGAGTATCCCGCCAGTCCATATACTCGTCCTCCCGGTCCCAACCGAGAATTCCCGGGGCCCGCATCGACGCTCTCCAAACCAGGGCTATCTGGAATTAATTTTAAATCACGATTTTAGTAACTTTTATTTACCTAAAGTAACAAAAATTCTTATACCTCTAAAATCTGATTATTCAAACTAACCTCCACGCTGCTCCTTGCACTTTCGCCGTTAACCTCGGTCGCAGTTGCAGCTGCCTGTCGGACGCACAGGTAACATTCCCCGATCCGAAGGGCCGATGCCTCCAGTTCGCCCAATTGTAATATAACTCCACTACGCGCAAGGGTCAAAGGCCATCCCTCGGGAACTACACTCTCGTTTCCCTGAAAACAAAAAAAAAGACATCGATCAATTATAAATAATTAACCATTTATTAACAAAATATTTATCTCGTCCCGTAAGCACGTTGTGATCTTTACAAGAGCGATTTAAAAGGGGACAGGGAACTGTGGCCCAGATTCAAACTGAGTGCATGTTGCCCAGGGATCATGTACCGAGGGAGAGAGAAGATCAAAGAAGGAAATAAGGCCCCGAAGGAGACGCGGAGTATCGCGAAATTTCATCGGCGCCCGACGAGCCTTCCTGAATGCGGCATTGTCGGCATCCTGGTCCGATCGGAGTCTACCCAGAGAAAAAGGCCCCGATAGGCACTTGGTATATGATGCCCCGATAAAACACGGGGCCCCACTGTCCGTCAACGTGTGTCTCATTAGTTCTAAACACTTTTATAGATAAATCTAGGGCCCCGCTTATTCGACTTTCACTGTGATTTACTCCTCGCGGAAATTCCAGGATGAGGCCCCCCTTTTACTTCTGTATATTATTCACACTGTACGTATACATTTAATATAAAAATCAAGCGAATATATTATATACTCGCGGAAACGATTCTCCGGTATATCTTGTTAAGAATCGCATATATATACACATATACATCATCAATAATGGTTCCTAGAAACTCATATGCACATATGACACATACGGCTCCCCTCGTCTACCGCAAATACATGTAATATCAGTACCGATCGGACATCGGGACAATAATCTGATGAAAGTTCATAACGCGATGCCGATCGTTAAAAATAAAATGAATGAGTTATTGAAGCCGATTTGAGATCGATCTTTCGGGGGAAAAAGAAAAAAAAAAGAAATTGCGGCATACGCAGGACTTTCATGAGCGACGAGTCATACGCGATCAAATTAATCGGCATGACGCGGGCATCTTTCACATTCGTAAAAGCCGATCGATCGTCCATTGAAAACGACAGACTCCACCCGAAATTATCGTTAGTAATAATCGTACCGTAGAGCCGGGGTCATAGGTCAACTTTGTGTTTTTTTTCTATAAAACGCACGAACTACGGGTCAAAGTATTTTCAAGCGTGTAAGAGTCCCATAAGGAAATTTCAGTATCCTACGGATAAATACAGGCAGCATATGCCTGTGCGGTTAAACAGTGTATTATTCCGTCATTACCTCCGGTTAATGACGATAGAAAGTGTCAGTAACGCCACGGTAAGCCGCACGTGTAAGACAAAGAGATTCGACGGCGTTAAAATACACCGGGAAGTGCGTGGGCGTCAGACGGACAACGCGGGACTCACAATCGGATGAATCTTCAGCAGGGAAAGTGTTAACCCGCAGGGTCACGTGTGAACTTCTGGTACGTTGTGAATTTGAGAGGGTAAAATTTTTTAAAAATTTTCTCCATACTTCTCTCGCCGGATCAAGGAACTTCTTGAAGGCAGGTATTGAGGTTGAAAAAGCAGAATCCAGCGGCAGGGTAAAACCTACAATCTGTTGTGACACGCGATCCCGATGTCTGACGTGTTAATCATTAGCGATCGGTTGCGATTTGAACGGGACTTGGATTTATTAAGTTTTCCTTAAGGCTAGAGTGCAGCAATGCACTGTAGTGGCATTTATGCATTATGGGAGAGGGGGGATGCCACGTGTGTGCAGGCTATTTGGTAGATAATAATTTAGATGGGAAATCTGGAATTGTCATTGATTATTTTTATTGTTGATTATAATAATAATAATAAAGCACTGTTGACGTGTATTAGAGATACGTTAATTAATTCAAAAGATCGAACGAGGAGAGAGGGTTAATTAAAAAAAAAAGAAAAAAGAAGGTATTTTTAATTAAAATTAATATCCGACACCTTAATGACGATATTAATTCACCAGGCTGTGCAGAGAAGGCTCGTACGCTGACATTATCCGATGTGACATTTCATGAAAAATAACGATCGTGCATTTATTACGACAGTGGCGCGCCCTGGAGTTAATTATATTAAACGCGATGTAATTACGTCGAGTTTAATAAGCGATTACATGGTAAAGAGTTATGGTTTACGTGTGAAATTGACGAAGCAGCCGTCACGAGAATTTACAAACGTTCGTAGGTTAGGTTAGGTGTCGGTGGGTGAAGAAATTATTAAACGAATTTTAAAAATTCCCGCCGTGACCCTTCCCTCTCTCGACTCTTTAAAATATATATGAGAAATATGTTAAATAAAAAAAGAAAAAAGAAAAACAACTGCGTCCTTCAATTACCGATCCGCCAATCATTTCGTTATCGACCTCTTTGTTAAGACACAAAGAGAGACCCCTGGGTAGACTAAGCTAGACCGCAGCCTCCCTACCGTAGACGCATCCTGCCGCTGATTGGAAAACTTGGCGCAATTCAACAAGCCCAGTTCACACCGCCGATAACCATAAAGCCACGATCACGCAGCTGCGATTATTACGTATAAAAAATTAATAATCGATCCAATCAAAGGTTATATCCCGGCATGCACTACTGGTGCTGTATGAGGGAAAAAAGGAATGGCGAACGAGATGCATTCAGTCGTGGATATGAACGAGGCTTAAGGTTTGTATTTTCATTGTCCCAAGGCGACGTACGTGTTTCACTCGTCTCGTGTATACGTGGTCGCTTCTCTCGAGCGAAATCGAATTACCGAATGATCGTCCGAGGATCCAGCAGGGACGCAAAGGATGCAAGGATGCATCTTCGCCCCTGGGCTTATCCAGGTGCACGGGAAGCGTAAGTGCATATCGGTGCACGTAGCAAAGCGCCAAAGTACTACGCACTAGCTTTGTACACCTACACCTACACCTTGGTCTGTCATTATAATACTTGTTGGTCCATTGCGTGCCGGCATGAGCTCTCGGCGCCCAAGCATGACCACACTCGGCTTCGAGATTATTATGCAAGTACTCTCGGGGCTCGCGTGCACCAAGTTCCGGGTCTGATTGTCCGTTTTACTTGGGTGCGATCGTTACTCGTTACACTTGCTCGACACCCAGGGTATATATGCATAGATAAGAGAAGCCCATTTTTTATTCGTCACCCCGAAGGCTTAATGGAGATTGCCGGTGAGTTTTCGAACGTGCGGTCGTTGAAAAAGAATCCACGTACTTGGATATTCTACGTACAGAGGCGCCACCGTCGCGGGAAATTCGAAATCAGCTCGGCGGAGCGCGGCGGTCGAAAGTTTCCATGCGCTTCGATAGGCAGTTCCGAGTTTCTCCGCAACATGGCCGACGGCGCTGGTATAGCGGCGATAGACCAGCAGTTGATTTATTATTAAATTACTTGAATGATAATCGATCTACGCTTTATGAGCGATGGTACGATCTTCGTTGAGTGAGTTAGTTGCGTCACGCGTGTGTATAAATATATATGTATATAGGAGAGCAACAAACGGCAAGAACAACAACAACGGTTAACGACGTAAACCGTCATTCTTTTTTCTACTCGCCAGTCGAACCGAGTACCATTTCAAGCGTATTATTAGTCGCCGACACAGGTGTTATTTTCTATTTGAGATTTTATTTATGTGTCGGCCAAGGCGATAAATTTGCATGGGTCTAAGGACTTCCTGGACAGATCGTATATCGAAGCCACCTTTTCCAACCTACGAAGAAACGGCGCGCCTGCATTCCGATCCTGTGTTAAAGCTCCCTGAAAGCTACGTTGTCTTACGGTATGTTAAAAGTTTCGTTACGGGAGCGCTTTGAGAATCACTGAACCAGGATGATTAACGCTATCGTTCCCCAAGGATATAACGATTTTCGATTTTTCTGTTTTAACACTGTTTTCGTGGTAGACCAGAATCCCAAGAAGGGATACCCGCAAACGGCTGACGCAATTTACCAGGGACACCCAAGAACGACTCGCGGCTCTCCGACTTTCGTAAGAAATCTTTGTGCCCGGTCCGCACGCTTAACTGGCTTAATAATTGCACTCCTTATACGTGGAGCCGCTATAATTGTTTTACATAATCAAGATGACTCGATTCGGTCTGATGCACCGGCCCGACGCGCTGCCAGGAAAATTCTGCGGATAAAGAGCAAAGTATAATGATCTCGTTGCAAAATCTTTTTTTTTTAAACATCGAGAAAAAAAATTTTTCAACGTCTTATTTGCCCAATTAAAAAATTTTTATCGTGCAAAAATTGTGCCACTGCGTGTGAGAAAATTTTTTGTGCGCAAAACATTTTGACTGAAAAAATAATTGTTGTGTTCTAATTTCTGTAAAATCGTTTCTAACAAGCGACTGAGATCGCTTCTGTCGCTCTATGCCATACCGATGCCTGTACTTGTCGTCCTATAAGCGATTGGATGTTATTAGACGCAATCAAAGGCGGTTTCTAACGACACTGAAAGTGCGACGAGTCCTCGTCCGTTGCGGCGCGTATACATGTAAGCGAAGGATGGGCGACGTGAGAGGTCGGCACCCTTTGAAAAGTCGGCCGTGTCGCGTACGCCGTCTCGTGGGAACGAGCGACGGGTCTGTTAGAGTCGCGAAATCGAAGCATACGGTTCGCGATTTGTGGACGCGCCTTGAGCACGTTATATTAGAAGGGCAGAGAGGGGAACGATATACTTAGCGGATAATTACGCGGGAGCGACAAGAAAAGGCGAGCGGAACTTTTGAAAGGAGAAATAGAAGTCTCGGTTGGTACTGACTTGGAATATATATATATATATATATATATAAACCGAGTGAGATTACAGCATTAGAAGAGGACCAAAGTTCTAATATGGATTAGAAATGGCAGTCCATGGTCCAGAATCTTCAAGATCCTTCGCCGTGTACGTGTTACGTGGGGAAAGTACGGGAGGTGATGCTGGGGCTACTGTAACGATCGGAACCACGGACTGGCTATAAATCATCTCGCTAACCGGCAATACTGTGCCGTGGGATTAGCCATTATTCGCTCGATTGCTTCCACTTATTGCCAGGATATTTAGAATCCTTTTTTCATCTTTGATTGATGCAGATTTACGGCCGTTTGCACGTGAATATGAAAACCATAGATATATTTGGGTCGTGGCATAAGACTTCAATTTTGACAAATGGACCATATAAGATTTTTTTTTTCTTTTTTAGATTTTTACCACGTGATACAAAGAAAATAAATATATTACGCTGAACTTTAGTCGAGTATGTAAATTAGATTTTTTCATAATTATACAAAATTTTTTAAAATAAATCCAGCCAAGATTTAAGAACCGTTAGATCTTTACGACGGTCGAAGACAATTTTCATGGACCACACAAGCTGCCCAGTATCCTTGGACAGAACGAATGTATATATGGTACTGAGATGACTGCCAGGATTTAACTCCAGCATCCAGCACTGAATCGCTCGTTTAGGATGAAAAGGATTGGTCCGTTGGAACGACTACGTGGGTGGTAAGGACGATCTCAGGACTGGAGGATTAGGGGGGAGGGGTGGTCCTTGAGAAGATGCTGGACCACAAGAGTTTGCAGTGTAGACAGATCTATCTGACAAAAATATATATGCATCTAATTCTCGTATAAATATTAAATGCAAATAACCTTGTTTGTTTAAGATAAAAAAAAATTGCCCAAATTGGTCCAGAGGATTTCACAAATTTAAAACATGACGAAACACAGATCCCGAAGATATGCCAACCGTACATATCTCAATTTCAAAGAGATCGACTATACAGATGAATTATCAAGATGAAACTAGGAGTCAAGAAATACGATCCGATCATTTGCATAATCCCGCTGGACCTCCCAAATGGAGTCGGACTACCGTATAGAAAAAAAGGTCCCACGTTACGTCATCAAAAAAAAAAAAAATGCAAGAGCCCAGGTCAAGATCTTCGTACCACGGGTACAGTGAGCGAACCGCGTCTAATTAAGCAATGAGAAAAGGTGAGAAGAGGTCACGGATAAATTTTAAATAAAAAAAAATATAAAAAAAATAAAAATCCAAGATAACGGCGCCGATCGCGACAGGAAGTAAGAAAACTCCACGATGGTCCGTCCCGCAGCCACCTGGAGGAATGTAGATGTGTTATCTGAGTCTGTGCCCGGGTCTCAGTGACATACCTTCCACCTTCCGACCTTTTACCTTCCCCACCTTATAACGTCCCGTACGATTTATTATCCGTATGCCCAGCGCGTTAAGACCCAACCGACTTCGGCAAACGCATTGACCATGATCTTCTGTATACCTGTCCCGCAGATGCATTTCTACGGGGCATGCATATTCATACAAGACCGCGCATGCGCATTACGCGCCTAATTGAATGCCCCGTGGAAAAGTCTAGGGAATTTTTTTTCTCCGCCACTTCAACGTTCCCAACCCATCAGTCTCTATGGCAGCTCGGTATCGAAGGTGTCTGTACAAATAAAAGGCTATCGACAGGCGTGGTCTTGACAAATAATACGATATTAATAGATACACAGTCTAACGACTGACACGGACCACCAACGAATTGCCTAGGGACTTTGGCGCCCAGGTTGAATAACCTACCCACTGACACAGTACGTGCAACTATACGTAGGACTCTTACGTTCGTCCTGGAGTTCGTAGAGTATCGGGTTTCGTCGTTGGCGAGGTCTCTTTATGTCGTGTGAAAAGAGGTCGCGAGATCTGACCCCGTGAAGCGACTCCGATTCCATAAAGACCCGTCCACAGGTACGGATAGACATTTATTCGACAGATAGCAACAAGAATAACAGATCGGTCGTACACTCCAGACTGATATATATACGTCCGCGACCCCGTCCGTCAGTCACAGTGGGAAAATTACGCGCGTTCGAAAAGTTTCAAGATGGCGCAACGAGCGCGAAATTTCAAACTTGTTAGAATCTAATTAGACCCGGTCCGAGTCGCCCGTAGGGGTTTTCTTGGATACCGAACCGCCAGTGACTGGCGAGTCTTTCGCGTAGGATGAATCAGCCTGGCCGGTACCCAGGTACGCTGGGATCGCTCAAGGTCAATGACCCCACTGCTCCCTCCTTGCCCCCAACTCACAATCCCGTAATTGTTTAACGCACTCGATCGCGTTGTGCGAAACATCGCCAAAGTCGGGGCCCCATTCATTCGGAAGTCTCGATCGAAGATTTTCATACTGCTTCGAGCTAGTATTATTAGAAATGAGATGAGGCCGCGAATGGACCATCAAAAAGCCGCACGACAAGAACCGCATTGTGGCCTTTAGCTGTACACGACTCTTCTGGTTCGAGCGAGCAGATAAGAGCAAAAATTTATAATGGACTTGAGAAATAATAAAAAATATATATACGAAGAAGCCGATCTGCATGTTTTATTACCATCGTTTAAATCGGATATAACAACGGCAACAAAATTGCTGTTTTGGCTAACAGTGTAAACTCAATTTCAACGAGCTCATCGAGTACTGCAGGTCAGGTACGTACGATTAAAGGGTTTTACAGGGTGAGATAAGTTGATGGGTAAAAAATTTTTTTAATTACTCAAAACGAAATTACGAGTGTATTTTGTTATTTCACCACCTTTTACGGCTTCTGAAATACGTACGTATCTATCTTCTAATGTTTCTATGTTCCTTCTGTGTATCCAAGCTTGTTTTCCTAGTTAGACTATGGTAATAGAAGTCTGCTAGGTCTGCCAGCTGGATTTAGTACCGGGGAAGACCATTGCCTGGCGCTGCCAGTTTAAGCATATATATATATATATATATAATATGTACCAAGGAAGAGGTCAAAGTTGAACGACGTAGTTTCCGGTGAAATTAATGGACATCAACGCGACAATTACTTTGAGCGCAGCTAGAAATTCTCCCGAGGCAACAAACTGCGCCTGTAAGAAGTTCCCTCTGAGTTTCTCAAAGATTTATCATTGCTTAGAAGCCAACCAGATACAGATATACCGACCAGATTATAATTGTAAATACGTTATCAGTAGATCTAATAGCAACAAGTAAAATAGCCATAGAAATATTTTGCATCGGAGCAGCGATTCATATCTCTCTCCTTAATCACAGGTGCACTGATCTACCTATGTTAATTAGGTCTAATAAGTTTTCAAAAAAAAATTTTTTTTGAAATTTTTTTTTTTCTTAAATTCACAACGGATACTTGTTAACGCATTTTTCTTACCGTCGTCTGTCTCGACCGTTGTGAACGGACCTGTAGCCACTCTGCTCTTGGTCCCTTCCACAACCGAGTTTGTCCTCCGGTTGCGAACTTTGAACCGCGAGTCAGTGTCTTCAATAGGAAAGTAACTGTACTGACCATCAGCCAATTTTCATTCTTTTATCCTACGGGAACGGTGCTTCCCTATATATATATATATATAGTAGTAGATATATAGGTATAGTGTGTATAGTATAGTATATATATAGCGGAGTAGATACGTGGTATACATATATATATCTATATATAGACTGAAAACGTGAGGTATCGATAATCAATGATCTAACGATACCTGCCACTTTTTTCTACAGTCTTAATAACAAGGTTCGATCAATCGGAAATAAAATCCCAATTCCGACGAAGTCGAGTTGCGACATCGTTAACTGCCTGAGAATAAAGCAGTGGGAAAAAAACAAAGTAAATAAAGAACAATTTGTGCGACCGATCGATTCGTTCTCTTCGTGAAATGTTAATGGGATTATTGAATTGGTGAATCTATTTTCATTTTCTACACGGGTCACGCGATTGATCTTTATTGGATTTACACGGCAGGTATATATTTTCTGATGAAAAAAAAAGAAGCGGGATTGCGTAATTAATAAAAATTTCGAAATAAATTTTTATTTTTATTCTTCTTATCATAATCCAAAATTACGAACGTCCTGCGTACACTCATTATTTTAATTCAAAATATTTTATCGACAACTCCGACTTAACGATCACGATTCCCTGACCCAGTTTTCATCTACCGATACCTAATCGTTATCAATCCCCAAGAGGAATCGGTGTAACGTTATTGATATTTGCGCAAGATTATAGCTCGGCCTGGTAAAACGTGATTTATTAACTCCGACTGATTGCGCCGTGATATACCTGACCTGCCTTGTTATCCTTATCGTTTAAAGAATAAAGGCTTATCCACAATGCGGGACTTCCTGCTTGCTACCAGTCTTACGTATACAAGGTGAGATAAGTTCGCTTGGACTCGTCCTACTTGAAAGCCGCGATAAAACCGGGATAAGCATTGGCAATGATACTCGAAAGTTCACCGCCGATCCGCCCTACGCGCGCGAAACTTAAAGGAGCGTTCACAATGAAAAGAAAAAATTCAACGGACGACTCGTATGAGTATTTTTGCGGGAAAAAAAATTTTTTTTTTTTTAAATTTGTTTATAAAATAAAATAATTTTTTGTTGAAAAAGGAACAATACCCGTATATAAATACATATGCGTATGCCTACGTACGTACGTGCACGCGACTGGTATCGCGATATCTCATAGGCGGTGGTCGCTATTAAAGGTAGATTGCGCTTTCTCGGTGGTCTACCTATGGGGTTATTACCAACAACCTGCCACCCAGAGTCTGAAGTGGGTGTGCCTGGTTTCATGGTTACCCGGTTGGTTGTCTGGTCCTTATGAACAAGCATGTATGTAAGTAGCAGCAGCATCCCGTTCTTATATACCAAGGAGAAGAATAATGTGCATAGTAGGTCCTATGGAGGTAACTAGGTATATCCTGTGATCGAGCAATTCCATGCGAATGGTATGCGATTCATTCGTCCCGAGATATATATATATATAACTCGTCGAGATCCCACAATTCCATCGGTGCTTCAGAATCGCACTACACTAAGAGGCATAAAATGCCCACGCAAAATTCAAGAAAGCTTAAAGGTCCAATATGTTTACCGCGTATCGGTCTGAAATGGAAAAGTTAAAGCTGCGACTTGAGATCCGAATATAATTTGAAACGAGTGAAATTATACTAGTCAATAACTCGCGCGAGACGTGTACTTTTGTTAATCGCAACGAACCGTAACGAACGACCGAGCGATGAAATATTTGACGCTAGCCACGCCGTAAAATTATACGTCAGAGACGCGAACCATTCGTTGTGTGCATAGAAATCGCGAGGATGTTTCACTTTCCAAAGTTGGCGTATTGAAAAAAAAAAAGAAGAAGGTGAAAATCACCACCCGAGTGACACATAACAGAGGAGCGAAGGATAAAAGGAAGATCCGGCGGTTAGGAATGAAAGGAATCCATTGTTAGGTACTGGTTTCTTTTATCGGTCTACGTCGCGCATGCGCGCTGACTCGTCTCGTTTCAGATGGCAGCACCTGCGCCTAATCGGATTACTCGGCTAAAAAGCGTTAAGGTTCACGGGTGAAGTCATACGCCGTGGACGATTAAAGCGTGCAGGAGGCATAGGCTACAGGTTCACCGGGATACGCGTGTACGTAATATATACCTGCTGCACTCCACCGCCCGTTCCTGACGCCCGGTATACGCGATGAGACTTTATCGGCTGAGATATGGTCTACGGTAAACGCTTGGGTTATGTTTGACATGCGCGCGCGGCGTATTTGAATGAAATACCGGCGGCCGGGAATACGCTTTGGATTTAATGCCGTCTGCCGTTGGCTTTCTTGTTTATCTTCTATTAATAAGAGCCTGCTACGGGACTCGGGGGGTATGAAGTTAATAAATACAAAAGTATACGTAGTTAGCAGGATAATCATCGCTCGTCTCGTGGGGTCCCCGTAAGTACGACGTGCCTGTACGTGCTGCTACTTTTTCTTGCCTTTCGTTCTATATATATATATATACAGCCAGTAGCTGGACGATGGTAACGAGAGGAAAGACTCGAGGCTAAGGTGAAAGAGAAAAACAGGGTATTCGACA